CTTGTACTTCCCCTTCCCACCCGATAAATTTTTGTAAGTGGTTCTTGAGTATTTTCGAGTACCTCTATCTCTGTCTTTCCCATTATACAAAAAAACTCAATTCGTGTATAGAAAAATTATGCAAAAATTTGTCGCCAAATTTGGTCAAAAGGCTGCAGCTGCTTTTGTGCAATACCTATTTATTTTGGCAACTTTGCTTTGTCTTTGACTTGCCGCATTCTAACCTGCCAACTGTTTTACTTTATCTATTTATTTATTTTTCTCGGAATGCGGGTTAGCCAATAATTTTTTGGCATTTGCACAAAAGTTAGGTGGCTATAAATTGGCAAAAAGGAAAGAAGATTATAAGCTTAGATAGTGGAACATGGGGTTATTCTAAAGAATTACTCTTTGCCAGATTTTTAACAAGATTTTTGGGTCAATAAACTTTGAAAAGGGGTTAAGATTTTATCTTTGTCGTATATTATGTACATTAAAAATGATTCTCTGAAAATATGTATCCATTCGAGTCAAATACGTTTCCAAATAAAGCTACTTGAACCTTTTTTAAGGTGAGTCATAAAGCACTTTGCCTCTAGTGAAGTTAATTTATCTCAAAAACATTAAGATGCATACGCTACCTTTCCGTAAAGATTTACTTAATCAAACAAAATAATTAAGAACATTAACCTCCGAGGCAAGGCCAGGTTTGATCAACGATAAAAGAACTTAGTCGAACCACTTTGTCATTTATAATTTCCATGTAAATTACCAAAAATTGGGATCCTGAAAACCCCTAAATAATTATAAAATACAAGAGATACGAACAAGACCCACATGCCTGCGATTATTGTATAATAAAACCGGTTGGCGAGCGATTCTCGAGACTTTTTACAATAAATTACTGCAGACAGGAGACATCGGAGGAGCTGGGGTAGTCGATCTTTACCGGTTTCGGTTTACTGACCTGGCCTACATATGTATAATGCCCTCACCTTCGTGCGCACACTTCACATCGTATCGAATTTAATCGCAATCGCGTTTATCAATTAATTTTATTCGCAGTTCCGCTGGAAATTGACATGCTGACACGGGAGCACTTCAATCGCTGGTACAAACTGGGCCCCTACTTCCTCTCGCTGATCTCCTTCGAAATACCCTTCCAGGTAAGCCTTACAATTGTTGAAAACTAACTAAGCCGTGCCCGATCATTAATCATCATTTAAAGCTAAGCTTTCATAGGTGGCAGTGGTTTAATGGATTGCCATTCGGTCATTAAGGCAAATTAACGACGTGAAATCGCTGATGTTCGAGCTTGCGTTTCATTTGCGTGTGAGAATCGCGTAAGCTTGACGGCTACAGACTACCTGTAATTTTGTAGCGATTGTTCCAGTATTCTGGCATCCATAGGGCATACAGAGAGAAATTTTTAAAATTTTAACACAAAGAATTTCTGTTGTTTGCCCTAATGTTTTTTACCATTGAAAGGGTGCTATGAATGGCAAATATTTCCTTTTGTAAATTGCTTCGACCGAAATTCCATGAAACATATACAATGGTAATACAATGGTAATTAAGGTTGCTTTGAAAAAAAATTAACAAATGAGCAATAAGATCATCTTATGTTAGTTCAACAAATTCTAGATAAGAAAGGCACAAGCACAGAACAGGTTTTCTTCTAACCTATCTATCAAGTGTCATTAATTAACATCCATGTCAATACAATTAATAATCATATTAATTATCATAAATAGTAAATGATATCAACATCAAATCTAATATAAATAGTCATATAAATAAATAATTAGTTTAGCTTTGTGAATCTGAATTATCTCACTAACATTCTAATATATTTATATATTTATATTACAGAGTCTCTGTACCGCCATGTACATCATCATAAGCGTACATCTCACTGGCAATGATGTCGTGGATTCATTCCGGATCTATTACTTTATACTGCTGGGCATAATGGCCTCATTAAGTGCTCAGGCCTGGGGCTTTTTCGTGGGTGCCACGCTGCCAACTAAGGTGGGTTTTACACTCTACGAGTTAACCACAAATCATATTAATAATGATTGATCTTTCTACATTAGCTTGCCGTTTTTCTGGGACCCATTCTGGCGGTGATGTTCTCCGTTTTTGGATTCTGCACACGCTATATTGACATCACGCCCCTTTTCCGATGGATGTGGCACTTGAGCTATTTCCGCGCTGGATTCCACGGGGCGTTGAATGCCATCTATGGGATGGATCGACCTTTCCTGGAGTGTCCGGACACTGCGATGTACTGTCATTTCCGCAGCCCAAAGGTTTTCCTCAAGTACATGATGATATCGGACGTGCACATGTCCGATTGTCTAATCCTCATGGGAACCGTGATTGCAGTCATGCACGTGCTGACCATCATAACACTATGGCACAAGCTCAACAGACGATAGGGATACCGGGATATCCTGTTCTTAAGGCTAAGCCCCAGTTTTAATCCTATGTACATAGTCGGGTGTCTTTCCATCTCTCCTTGTTTTAAGTTCGAAACTGAATTTATAAATTTTCCCTCTTGTGTTTTTATAATTGATCGACCATTCGAAGATGTTAGCTTAAGTATTTATTTAAATATTTTCTGAAACATTATATGCAAGAAGGCTTTAGGGTAGCTTACTTCAGGTTAAGTGCTGATATACCAAAAAAAATATGGAAATCAACCGACACACAACTTCTATTTCCCAGTTTTCATCTTGCCCTGTATACTTCATCAACTGAGCTGGATTTTCCGCGAGGAATTCCATCTATGCCAAATCCTAAATATTCATTTACGTCCATAAGGTCAGCAACAAAGATACATTTGTGATCAACATTTTGTTTTGTCTCTTTAGTGCTTAGTTTTAATTTTATCCCTAAGTTCGAATTATTTGTATGTGGCGAATTACGTTTAGTTTTTATAGCAAATGTTTTAGATTTCTTGATTTCATAATAAAATGTTTGGTAATTTTGATAATTTATGATTAATTTTATGTTTTGGTGGCTTAACAAATTTAATTAGGAAATTTCGGTTTTTTTTAAATGATCGCAGAAGTTCCTAAGAAAAAATACAAGTTCCTGAGATGAATCAAAATGTACCATTAAATTTTCAGATAAAGTATTAAAATATTTCAAATTCTGGCATTCGTGTATTATCTTAAAATATACGTTAAAAAGAAATTTAGGCCTCTACTTTTTACTGTCTAACAAATCAATTTTATTAGTTTCAAAATGCGGATGCCATACAAAATAAGTTAAATACATTGATGATGAGGACGAAGGCTTAAAAACCTCGACCATTTGCTTGCTTAGAGCTAAACACGTTTATTATATAAAAAATATATATTGGAATCCATTAGATATTGCACTTAAGACCGATTCTCTACATAGTCGACATGCGTGCATACCGTATGATCTGATCGTGATTCAAAGGACTGTCGGTGGACAACTGCACTCTTTGCCATTGCCTGGTTTCGTTGGATTTCCGGATCGCCTCGACCACAGCCTGGACATACAGGCCATCTTCAAAGGTGGCGGCTGTGGAAACGGGAGCTTTAACCCAGGAGGACTCCTTGCTGCCGAAGGCTTCTTTCAGAGCGCCCACCATCTTGCACAGTCCCTTGATATAGGGTCGCGGTAACAATGAGTTATTGGTGGCAAAGTGCAAATCCTGGACGTCCACGTAGACAGCTTCCTCTTTGGGTTGGCCCTCTTTGAGAACAAACAGATCCCCGCCACGCACCACCAGATGACCTTTGTTGCCATAGATGAGCACCTCCTGGGAGAAGGCTTTTGCAGGCACTGTGTGACTATGGAGAGCCACTGTAACCAGAGTTCCGCTGTTCAGTTCCATTTGGAAGTTGCAGAAATCCGGTGCCGTGATTTGTCGTATGCCATTGATGGCTGGCGTAGTCTTGGTGTACGAACGCAGGACTCCATGCACCCGGATGGCTTGCTGTTGCAGCAGGAAGGTGACTAAGTCCACCACGGATCCCACGAGATTCAAGGCACCACCGCCCATTTGGGCATCGCACATCCAGTTGTATTTCTCGGGGAAGAGAGTTCCCATTTGAACGCGCACATCCATGAGGACCACGTCACCGATGGAGCCAATTAGCTCCTCCTGCAGGCAGCGACGCATGTGGGTGAAGGCGGGAAGGAACCTCAGGGGATGATTGACCAGGGAGATCAAAGTGGGATAATACTGTGACGCCCGCACCATTTTGAGGGCATCCTGCTGGTGCAGGCCAGCTGGCTTGTCGCACACCACATGCTTCCCGATTCCCAGGGCCTTCACCGAGATCTCGGCATGGAGGAAGGGCTGGCAAACGATGAAGACCAGGTCCACATCCTTTCGCAGCAGGACGTCGTCGATTACGTTCGTATGGAACTGAACATTTTGCGTGGCCGCCGTTTCCTTGGCCTCTTTCAGGGTCCTGCCCCAGATGGCCCGCACTTCGAATCCCTTTTCCCGCAGCAGGGGAACCAGGACATTGGCTATCTCTCCAGTCCCGAACACTCCAACGCCCGGCAGCATCGCTTAAAATTGGACAAAACTCCAAGAATTTAAGCGAAAATCAATGTTGTTTGTTTTTTCTGGTGAACCAGGGTTGCCACATCGATCAAACTGTGGGCGTTAACAGCTGACTAGAGGTGGTAGCATCGTAGCGACATATCGATATGCAATATATGTTCCCATGTTTATTTTTAAGCTTTCTTTAAAATATTTACAAATATTAATTTAAAACAGTAAGTCACAATTCCCATGTTATTTAAACTAAAAATGTAAGAAATAATTAATTCTCTCTATTTATTTATAATTATTTATATATAGCTAAGTTTAAAAATAAAACTCTATGAGCTGAACACTAGCAACAATGGCCTTCAGCTCGAAAATATATAATTAATATCGGAAATACTTTGTTTTGGAGTAAAATTATTTTATTTTCATTCGTTCCAGCTTAAAGTAATTATTTTTTACAATAGCAATCGGACCAACATTCAAATCAAGCCAGACCTACATGTCTAAATTCTGTTTCGAAATAAACAAAAATCTCATATCCAATGATTTCGATTGCCCACTGGCTAACCTCTTTTTCAGCCGGAGTTTTGGCCTCTGCGCAGGCAATTCGTTTTTTAAAGACTGCCAATGAAGAGGAGTTGCCTGCCAGGATGTCTAACCAGCTAGAAACTGCGGCAATCGAAGGATTGATCACGGATGAACCGAAGATCTTGGGGTCGGAACAGATCAGCAGTGTCCTGCAGCATATTCTAAGCAGTGAGCAGAGCTCAAGTCACGTTTATATAGATGCCATGCACAATCGCAGTGCTAAAAAGGAGGGATACGCTTTGGGCTCTGAGTCCCTAAATCAAATGCTGGAGGACATCATGACCCCCACAGGAAATGTAAGCCACAAGACCTTGTCCATGGAGCCAGCCGTTGAAGTTTAGAATTTCCATAAACATCTTTAAATTTAAGTGTTTTTGTTTTTTTTTTTTCAATAATTAAAAAGAAATGAGTTAAAGATTGTCTTCAAAAAACAAAGATTTCCCTAAATTGAAAATGTACTTACCCATAGTCTGGTAAGAGATCAATATTTCTTATGTAAGCCGACATTTAAAGACCTGACTGCTGTCCACTCAATTAACTAAGCCAGATTCCGTTGGGTTCCATTTGGAGTGCGGTCTACATCAGTTAACCAGCTCCCCATGTCCTTTGCCCCTATTCCCCTTTTCGACCCTTTGAGCCATGTGTGGTATTGCAGCTGTCAAAGCAGCCGGCATGCGGAAAATGATTCTGCAGCTTATTACAAGCTGGCAACTGCGAATGCAAACGCTCAGTGGAGTGAAGGACTTACTGACGACTGGGCTTATGGGACACTCAGAAAAAAAAAAACTAGTTCTATTCATGTCTTATAATCCTGAAGAATTCGCGTTTCGAATTTTTATGCGTTTTAAGAAGATTTGAATAGAGGACTTAAAAATTCGGAACCCTTATATAACTTTACTCAAATATTAAGTTAGTATGAACTTGGCATAATATTTCAGATCGATTTTAGCTCCTAGTGTACACCAACACCACTCATTTGTGTGGGCTGTTGTGTGTTTGTGTTTGTGCGGGCGAAGGATGTGGGCGGACATAATGCAAGCATTGGCAAGCCATGGCAAACAAATGTCACAGTCGACGCATTGCCCTGTCATATGGTAACCCAATTAGTGTAATTTGGTTTAAGGCAGCTGCCGCCTGTCTGCCACTTCCCCACACTCTCTAGCTGTATGTATCCCTACTCCTGGGCTTTAATTAAACCGCAAAGTGCACAGCAGCAGCTGGCAAGCAATCAACTTTAAAGCAAACCCAGCGGCTCAAGCAAACAGCTAATGAATGTTGCTGTTTGTGACCTCAGGACATAAGATATTGCCACTAAGTTATGGGGCCAACAAAGGTGCAATTTCCCTAAAAGGGAGGAGAAGTCAACCAAGGCGTTGGGCCAAGTATTGAGACGTCTATAGAGCTAGTTATAACATCAAATGGAACAGTTAAGCCATTGGCTTAAAGTGAGGAAGTGGCCTATATCGGTTGCTATTTATAAATATTTAAGAATTTTAATCTGTGTTAAATGCACTTCAAGCTCTATTAAACCTAAACTTTGAATTTAACAACTGATAACAGGATAATTATGGATTTATTAAATTGATTTTCATTATCCTTTAATGTGGTTACCAGCAGCTGCATAACAATTTAATGACTTTAAGTGACAGCCGCAAACTAAAGTAGCTTTCTCTAACCCAATTACCATTTATCAGAGACATCTGCAAAATCCCCAAAAGCCCCACAGACACAAGACTCCTAATTGAATTCTGAATGTTAATGGGAATATTGATTACACTGGCTGATCCAGGCTTAGTTTATCCCAGACTTTGTCCAACCGCATGACTCTTGAGGGAAGCGTCCGTAACCTCTGCTGCAAAAACCAGACATTAATCACATTTAAGCCAGATTAATACTAAATGCAGGGGGCGGCACAAGAACGAGACCAAAAATGTCTGCAATTGGAGGGCAGGACAACGGAACATTTAATAAGCCAAACAAGCGGACGTGACCTCATCTTGGGGTCTCCAGTCGGAGAGTCCCCAAGAAAACCGAGTCTGCGACTGAGACTGGGACTCGAATGAATCAGACCGCACATAGATCTCTGTCAGAGGCATTAGCATTAGCAGCGAAACAGGACGAGCTGAGCAGCCAAAGATAGTTCATCAAAACTGACAAGCCCATTTCGCTGTTGGGAGTCACAGCCCGCTTTTTCTCTCTAGCTATGCGGCTACACTTGCAAATATAAATATAACCATTTTTTCCGAATTATGCTAAGCAATGGGATTCTGAAGAGTGACATATTTAAATATTTGCACGTACATTTACCAGAAGAGTAATATATCTCACAGAATAGTTTTTCAAGTTAAACGCTTTTAACGTTTTTAAAGCGCCATAAATATTGGAGCAAAGCAATCATACTTTGTATTTCTCACGTTCTGCGTTAAAGATAGCTTTATTTATTTTAATATTATTACAAAGTAATACAAACTGGTATTGTTCTGTATATTTTTCTCTGTGGAAAAGGCTTCTAACAAGCCATATATGTTATTTTTTAAAATTTCATTTAAGTTTCCAGAAATTTGTATAAATTGATTAGAATAACGATTGGTAGAAAGTGTAGTAAAATACTTTTTTTTGATTTGATAAGGAAACGAGAACGCATCCTAAAATAATATTTCTAAGGAAATAATAATCTAAGCTTTAAGTTGAATCATAAGTAAATTTCTTTTTTATTAGATACCTCTTTTTTTAATGATATTATTTATTATGTTCAGTGTATAGATGAGCTGAAAGCCAGCTATCCCGGGCATATAACAAAACTGCAGGAACACCATCGCACCACCAGCACTCTTCTCCAGCATCTCCACCTACTTCAGCCAGAGAACCGAACCACAGCCAACAGATGAGAAATATTCATCAGCATTTACGTCACGCAGCGCGCAAAAGTCGCTGGGGAAAGCGGCAGAGAAATGGAGAAACGGAGAATCGAGCAGGACGAGAAGGGGAGAAAACCTGGCACTGGATGTCAGTAGATTTATGTTGACATTTCAATGACAGTTGTGAAAATGCTTCCATTTTATGTGTGTGTTTTGCTGTGGCTGTTGCCCGTCTGTCGCCTCTTTCTTCTTAAATTTGCGCAAATTGCTTTATCGCAGCAGCTTAAATTATTTCCAATCACGTATCACTCACGAATTGGGGAAAGTATATGTCGCGGCCTTCACGGGAATGTCACGATCCTGGCAGGAAAATAATAATGCCCCACGCACTGCTCTAAAATTAATGGAGAACAAGTCGTTGGCTGTATGGGAAAACTTTATCGAGTTGTTAAAGCGGTATAAAATGTATCTCTAAGCAGTTATCCAGAAAAATTGTGAAGCTCAATCCATTCTATAAATAACATTAACTATTAATTTAAATATAACATAATATATTATTTATTAACCAAAGTAGGAGATATCTTACAAGTTCATATAATCAAACTGCACCAAATAAACCAAGTAAAGAAAACTGGTTATGATCATTTGAAACCCCATATTATAGTTAATTGAAAAGAGTCCACACAGCTGAAACCGAAATTTGCAGTGACTGCAGAGCCATGCAAATTCGTCTAACTATTGAAAAAAGTTTTAGTTTTTTTTTAATTAAATAAAAATTGATTATATATACTCACACTTCTCTCTAGTTCGACATCTTTATGCTGAAGATCAGTAAAACGTCTCAGGATGGTTAATGTTTTTTCACCAGCCTTTTCGGTGATATCGCACACGTGAACATTTAACCAAAAGTCCCAAACATTAAGAACTATTTGTGGGGCAGCCACTAAGAATTCACGTTGAAAGTTCATGCTAATACCACTTACAATAAGAAAAAATGTTATAAAAATATTGTAAGCTAGATGCATAGTTAGTATTAGGGTCAACTGAAAGTCGTAGGCTTCTAACACTTTTTTATTTAGCTTCAAGAGACGATTGTACAAGGAGGTAAGTTCGCGAATTCTAGACGATTTTTTAGTGAGATTTAGTTGTATATTGGCTGCCAGGTCCAAAAGCTCTCCGTTAATCAACAGCACATAGCGATATATGAAAAGAATTTCAATGTGAAAGTGCATTATAATTAATTGGAGCGTCACTAATGGTAGGATGCCAAGGAGCGCGAATAACTTCGACAATGAATTTCCTTCCAATAGAGCAAACACAAATAGTACAAACATATGAATAAACGCAGCCAAAAACTTTTGAATCACACAACAGTTAAAGTTGGGACAGTTCTTTAAATTCAGATTGTAAAAGTGCTGATTCGTCAAGTTTAAAAGTTCATTGGCAATCTCCTGAACTTTGATGCTTCCCCAAAAGTTCCTTAAGTGTGTAACGATCGCGGCGAAAGTTGTGATGACTTTAAAGTGTTTGTGAACTTGACCCAGCAACGGATTATGCTTAAAAGACTCCGGATTTCTCTTCTCCTGAGATACAAATTGGTTGTTATAAAATAGTCCCAAGAGGAAAAAATTCCCAATTAAGCCATAGAATTGTAGGCATCGGGAACGCCGCAGTTGTTTTCTTCTTGAATCAAATGTGAACGGAAACAGCCCAAGTAGCCAGGATCCGTATAAAGTTGTCTTCAGCATGAACCACGTCAAAAGAGGACAAAAACCGCGACGAGGTCGAAACATTTTCGACTAAATTGTGATGTTCAACTAATGTTAACGGAAATAGAACACGGAAAAAGAAGGAAACATATATAAGACACAAACATAAATGGGTGCTGACGTTAATATTGACGTATCTTTAAAAAGCTATTTATTATTTCCTTACAAAAAGCAATGGGTGATGACGTTAATATTGACGTATCTTTAAAAAGCTATTAGTGTAATTAAAACGTTGTTGGATTACACTGTGCAACACGGAAAGCCCGCAGTTAAGATTTCAAAATCTTAAAGTTCTTATCAAAAAAAGTCAACCCCGATTTGGGGCCCTCTGAGTTAGTTCGCGTTTGGATATAAGGCGACTTAAAGATTTGGTGTAAAACTTGATTTTTAAATCAAAAATCAGTTTACACTACAAAATCTTCAATATGTTGCTCAGTGCTATCCATTAATATTCATTCTTATATTTTTCATATTACCCATCCTTAATAGAATTTCATAATCATGAACAATTCAAAGTCAGAATGATGTTATCAACGGAATACTCTCATCAATTAAATGAATTCATCACATATTTTAAATTGACACATTTCATAAGTTCCAACTATCTAAAGCCCCACCTGGATTTCCAACCCCAACCTTCCGTATTTCAAAAACGAATTGTTTGCGTGCCAGCAATCAATTTTTATTAACTTGATTAAGTGCTTAATGGCAGGCATTTGGGATTTCTGGTTATGCAACAAGTTATTAGCAACGAAATGGAAATGCCAAGTGGTTGGGGTGAACGTAGTCCTCAGCTTACCCAGATATATATATATATATATATATAACCAAGGGGATCCTGTGACAGCAGCTGGCAAAGTCGCCTCTCCTACAGCTGGTGTCAAGGAATAATATTTGCATTGTTGTAGCTGAAAAGGGGATGACTTAAGTGGGCCTGGGGTTGGATTGGGGCTGAAAAGGCTTTAAGGAGTGGGTGGTTGAGTTCCCCGTTTCTTAGTGTTTCAATAAGCTAAAAGGACGAGAGGTGAAGGAGACAGCCTGTGCTTCTGCTGACGAGGGAATTTCATTAAGCAAATAACATGGAGTTATGAAGACGTTACCCTTATATTTAACTGCATGAAAATTTCTGCGAAACTTATGATTGTAACCTAATAATCAGAGTCGTTTCCTACTTTTTTTACAAGTTTTTTTTTAGGATAAACACATTTTTAGGATTTAATTTAATTTTTTTAAAACTATAGTAAACAAGAAGCATTTGTAAAAATGTAATACCAATTTATTTAAATTTTTTTCACAAGCTCTATATAAAAAGTTATTGATATTAAAAATGCACAGTAATAAACTATCAAGAGCTAAGACTCACATAAACTTTGTAGATTGTAGAATAATATTTTCCTTCCAACTAGGCAAATTTGATTGAATTTTGTGAAACAATTTTCCTGACGACAACTCTATTAAATAATTAAGTGAGAGTGAAGTTGGGAGGGTACAGAAACCCGTATTTATGCCAAACAGAGTGTCTTCTGCTGGCAACTGTAAAATTCCATTTACGCCGGCACACATACAAATCAAAACAAGAAATTTCGCAGTCGAATGAATTCCGGATTGTCTGAGGGAATTCCATTAGCAGGGATCTCTCGTCCTGCATATGAAGTTGCTATACCAGCTGCACACAAAAACACGCATTTGCATTTCCATATGTGGATTTATATAAATAAAGCTCAACATAAAGCTGGTCACTTGCCTTAATTAAGCTTGAAGGTGGCATTGGGATCCCTTTTGTGGAGCAGAGTGAAGAGTCAGGATGCCAGTACAAATTGAAACATATGTAGTATATGAGTGTGCAACCCACACTCACAGCTATGGTCAACTGAATAGGAGGCTGATATTGTTAAATAAAATTGAATTAATATAAGATTTACTTTGGTTGATTATAGAACTGATAAGTTGTAATTAAAACATTGCACATATTTTTAATAATTTTGAAAAATTTATGAAGATAAGAAATTTCCTAAGATATTATTTTGGTGGTTGTACATATGTAGCACATATTTGTAATAATTTTGAAAATTGTATGAAGATAAGAAATTTCCTAAGATATTATTTTGGTGGTTGTACAACTTGTATTCTAATAAACTAATAGTATTATATATAATTATTGTTCAAAATTTGGACAATTTGGTTCTTAATTATTAATGTACTAAATATTTTCAATATTTTTTGGAGAATATATGAAGGAAATTTCTTGAGAAGAAAATACGTTTTTGTTGGTTAAACAATTTGATTTCTTATAAAATAATAGTAATACATATATAAAATATTGTTTAATTTTTGGATTGGTTTTTAATTATGAATGTAAATTAAATAAACTGTATTATAAAATTTTGGGAAATTTTGTAAGTGTTTTAATAATGTAGGACGCCTTTTTTTGGTTATAAAATTTTAAAAGAAATTTACTCACTACTATTTTGACCGTGTCTGTAAATCCGTGTTTATGTTTGTACGCACAAATACTTGACTGAATGTCAGACAGAGCAGTCATATAAAATGCAATTCACAAATGAAGATTCATGTTATTTCCCCCTCTTTGGAGTCCTGGGTTGGCTATAAATCAATGCATCCTGACACAAGCTGGACATCCTGACATTCGGCTGCGGAAATACATTTTCCCACAGCTTTTCCAACATTTTCCGTAAGGCAATTTGGCAAGCTTGTTAAATGATTTCTGCAGGCCGGCTGGTCTGGCAAATTGTGAGTTTTGCATTTAAAGTGCATCATTGCCTTTCATTTCAAATGGCCATGGCCAATGTGACATGGGCATATTGTGTGTGCACAAGTTAAAACTCACTTAATTATCCGAATGACGCTGCGCAAATTGCAATTACGCTTTGCACTCACCTGTTAACAATTAGTCGACCGGATAACACGAAGTTGGGTTCTGTTTGATAACAATACGCACAAATTAAGTACATGTATGCCAACTTTTTTAAGAACCAGGCTTCAATATTGATAGTCAGGTTTATATGGTTTTTGTAGAGGCAAAAAACTGTGTGTTAATTGTATTTTTCTTATTCAGTCAAAAGAGAATATTAATCGTAAGTTCAAGTTAAAAAGAAGTCATCAACTCGATGGTCATCAATCAACGCCTTGAAGAAAATTTCCTGTGAAGAAACAATTTGTTTTCAGTAGAATAACACACATAGTCTAGACTATACATACCTTATGCCAAGGATTTACTTTCCCCAATTTTCATTAGATTCTTGGGATAGCCAAATTTCTTCGAGACGCTTCTGATGATTGCGCAGATAGCCGAGATTTCTTCCACGATTCACCGAAACCAAACGTAGTTGCTCACGTATGGAAACATTTGGCAGCGGTTGATTTAGGTCGGGAAAGTCATCAAAATCGGTTATGTCATCACTACTATATGATGATCCAATCAAGTTGTTAAAATTCAAAGAGTTCAATAGAGGAGTTTTTTCAACTTTTTTCAACGCATCCATCTGGTTTTCTGGTGCCTGTAAAAAAACAAAAATGTTCTCATTGTAGCAATCAACAAATAAAACAATTTATATCAGTTTAATAAAGTATTCACTAACCAACTTAATCAACATGAAAAAATTCACCTAATGAAAACCACTCACTGATTTAAGAACAAATTGGCAATACCTTTATTAAATGATTATTTGCAGGTCATTATAAATATCAATCAATACACAAATACGGACAACCAAATATTCAACAAACCATAAATATTTGCTTATTTATACGGACTTTTTTAGGAAAAACTATTAATTGACAACTGGCAAGTAGGTATTAAATCATAAGTGCATTAGTTCATAGTGATTTTAAAACATTAGCAATTATACTTGAGTATTCGTGCAAAATGAAAATTGCAAAGTCATCATAGAAAAACCGAGAACTGAAACCAATACATATAGTACCTACCTGATTTTTGTTTGGGGTGTCAGAAATAGGGGTCTTTAAATGATGGTTCTGCTCGTTGAACTGCTCCTCCAGCATCAAAAGCTTTTCAGTAAAATTAACAAAGTTCCTCATTTTAGCTCCACTTGATTTTACGGAATGACTCTTCTTTACAATGCGATTCTCGGCTAGTGAAAACACTGGACTGCAAATCGATAGCCTGCTGAGAGATTTCGATTAATCAGGGTTGCCAGCCCCATTCATGCAAAATGCATGTCCATCAATCCTAAACAAATTAGCACTGCCCATCCCTAGTGCAGCTAAAAGCCTTTTCACCTCCCAAAATCCTCAGAGCGAAGCCCTCGATTATTTATGTACTAAATGCAGATAAAGTTTCCATTTTTAAGGCTTCGGACCAGCACTTTTCTATCCGGTACTCCGGATTCAGGATTCCGGACCTTTCCATGCACTTTGCTGGCGAACCGAAAAATAAAATTTATTTACAGTTTCCCCCTGCCGGAGGCTCCGGAAAAACGGAAGCCAATGGGCGGGAATTTTCGGAAAGGTGGGCGGTGCCTGGAAAACTCAGTCACGTTTTGTGCAAAATGGAAATGGTTCGGAATTTACTGCAAAATACTCGTCCAGCAAGTACTATACAAAAAAAAAAGAATGTGAAATGGGCGGCAACCCTAATCGTCGTGAAACCCTCGTGCTCTATTATTTTGCCAGCTCTTATTTTTTTGTTGGGTAGGCCTAATGAAATTTTCGTTTTATGGCAAGTGCAACTGGGTAAATTGCAGGTGAAAGCTTTTCCTGCCCGCCCGGGGGAATGTTGTTTCGAAAATCTCATTTTTTGTGGGTCCTTTAATTTGAGTGGTGCCCGAAATGGTAGGTGGGTTCCCGTTCTCCAGGTTCCATCATAAATAAACAAGGACTGTAAACCATCTGATATTCTGGAAACACAGGACTGTCCGAGTTTGTTGATGTTTCACCTTATTTTGCTTGCCTCTTGGTATTTTATTGCCGCCTCTGGTTTGTGTCTCTTGAATATTCGGTGCGTAAGTTTATTTTTCTCAAAGAAATAATATTTGCATGTTGTGCAGGTCGGAGATGTCAACTTAAATTGCAGTCAGTAAAAAATGTGATGGGAGTAAAGAATTTTTCAATAAAACTTTTATATTGTTAGATGGTAAATGTGGAAAAACCTGTTAGCTACCTTGGGATTTTTTGGAGACCAAAGAGATTCTTTCTGGTACAGAATAGAGGGGTTGTACTAGTGGATAATGCCTATCCATCCTTAAATAATATAATTCATAGCTTATTAAATATTCTCTTTGCACATTTTGCTAAAGTTTGAGGCGTACCTACCCACTATTCCCACACCGAAGCCACTGTTCAGGACAACAATGAAAAGTTCAACTAACCATGACTTTGGGGCTGCAAAATGCCCCGGACAAGCTGTACACATTAAGTTTCAACTTTAACACAACACCAACGCACTGACACAGGTGTGACCCAGGTGTGTCCCCCCCCTACACCCCCTACACCCATTACCCCTCACCCCCCGGAAAACAAGCCCCTAAAACATACAACAAACCAGAGCCACCAACAAGTCAACAAAAATGGTTGCTCTCTGCTGGTTTCTATTTTCCACTTTTGTCGACGCTTTGCAACTTTTGCTGTCACTCGTTCTTTTTCCTTTTTGGCCAGCATTTTAATTTCATACTTTATGCAGAGGGATTCAAGCTGCTCTATAATGAAGCCAGCTTCTTGGAGCGGCTAAGCAGGAAAATATGACAAAATGTTGAGCCAGCGGCACATATTTTAAGCCTTTCTCCAGAGCTTAGCAAGTACTAGAGGGACACTAAAAAAAGTTTAAGCTAAAATTGATAATGGCACATAATGGTAAACAACATATTTAAAGTTTTTAGAATTTTGTTGACAAGTTTAGATAAGGTATGTTTATTTTAAAATGTTTTTATATATTGGTATATATAGGTATGTTATACTAAAAGAATCAAAAAATTCTAAGGGAATTTAAAAACATTGTATAAAAATATTGATAAATTTAAAGTTTGATAAAAAAAAATATTAAAACAAAATCATTTTGCTCAATTATTATTTTTCATGGAACAAAACATTACATGTAAAATCCAATTTGAATGATTGCGACATCAATTCACGTGTAAGATCTTTAAATGGTCTTGAAATGATCTTTAAAGCTTAGTTCCTAAGCTTATGAAATTTTCTTAAATTTTATTTTAGTTATTTATTTTAAGTGTACAACCCATCAAAATCCCCTTTTGCCACTCCAAAATTTCCCGCTTGCTGACAGCGGAAAATGTCACAAAATGTTGGCGGCGCTGACTTTTCTGCATGAGTCTGCTGTTTTATTTTATTTGAGCCATTTTCGGGACCCGCTCCAGACTACGACTATCGCATTCATATTTTTGGCCTTTTACGACTTTTCATAATCTTTATGGGGCGGAGGTCGAAGGGCTGCCGACGGGGGGCGTGGCTCAGCGCTTTTTTGCAGCTCAAGGAGTTACGACGCTTATGAGTGCAATTTAAATTCAAAAGCCGCTTAAATTTATTTCGAGCTGAAGCCCCTGCACTCACTTAAGTCAATTTTTGTGTTGCAAATTTTACATTTATGACAAGCAATTTAACTTTTGCCTAATTGCGCGACATGCAAAATTGCAAGTTAACTTCTGGGGATTGTCTACCCCCCTTTCCCTCTTTCCCTCTTTTTCCCCTTTCATCGGCAGGATGCCTCGAGTGGTGTGTCCTGATGGTTCATTAAATGTAACTTTTGCCTCCGTCGGAAGGCGGCGTGGAAAAGTTTATCCTCCAGCAACAGGATGTGGATGCTCCTCCTTTCGGCTGGAGGAACTATCAAGAGGATTCGACTCAACTGGGGGCTAAGCAAATAGAATGGCTCATTAGGATAGTGCCAGTGGAACTTATTGGATTAGTTGCGTCGACAGCCGGGGGGGGCTAAAAGAAGATCCTGTCACGCGATGCCATTCGTTGTGCACTTCTAAGTCTGGGGAAATATTGGCATATCCTTGGAGATTTTCAAAGGCAAAAAAAGCAAAGATTGTGACATCCATCGAGGAGGAAAAATCGGAGACAAATGGCCTGGCTAGTTCTTGGAGTTCTGGTGGAATGAGTTTTTACAACAGGACTTCAATTTTGTAGAAGTGTTTCTTCACAATTCCTTTTTTAAAGAAACCAACAAAATATTTTCCCAACTATACATTTTTAAACACTTTTACCCAAGCATTTTGTACTCCCTAAAACTTGTTTATAAACACTTTATACTCTATAGAAAATGTAAACTTCTTGAAAAAGAAAGTTTTTGAAACTTAAAAACAACTTAAAACTTCGAGTCCGGCTAATCTCATTGGTGAAACTTAAGTTTGTCCATCCGCCAATTAGCAAAAAGCAGGATTTTCATTTCGCATGCAAGTGGAGATGTCAAAGTCTCGGATGGGGAAAATGGGTAAAGAGTTTTCCGGCTCGAAGCGTCAGAGCGGATCGACAATTGTCTTAATCTTTCCCCGCGGTCTCTTTAGCGCTTCAAATTGTCTGAAACGGGTGGAAAATTGTGTGGGTGGGTAAACACGCCCAAAGCTGCTGCTTGAAAATCCTTTTTACTTGGCACAAGGATTTGCATTCCAAACTCCATTTGCAGATGCATAAACTGATTTATTTAGCGACTTGGCTTATGCGCCACTCTCAGCTAAGCGGAAAAATCGCAGCTTGCAAGTAAAAGCTTAAAAAACAAAAAAGAAATTAGTTTTGTTTGCTTTGAGTATGCACAAAGGATTATTGACAGAGCTTCCGACTAGGGAAATATTAAGGAAAAAATAAATTTTTATTTATATGATAAAGGATTTACGTATCAGCAGCTCGTATAACTTGTTTGATTTGTTTTTCCACTTGCATATCCAAAAAGCATTGCGATTTTATGAATGCCGAAACGGTTATACAAAACGGATTAAAGTTATTGAAACCTATGAAAAAATGTGTATTGTTTATGGATTTCCTATTCGATGATGCCTTTTGTATAGATTTGCTTTGTTTTAAAATTGATTTTTAATTTGGTGTATTGAAATTCCTATCTTCTTTTTGCTGAGATGTATTTTGTTGTAATCGAAATCCATTTTTAATAGGTTTTGGTAAAAATAAGAGATTGCAAAAAAGACCCTTTACTTAAAAAAAATAGGGATTCCATAAAAAATTAAGGATAATTTCCATTCCTTTAATATTTTAACTGGACGTCGGATTTTATGTGAAACCCTTTATTTTAATACGATTGACTAGATTTGGCTTATATATATTTATAATTTTATGAAAACATTTTTTTTTCAACCAAATCAGACATCTAGCTTTAGCATAGTTATAGAAATCGGGCTCAAGCACAATCTTAAAAAGAATTTTAACGATGGTATTTAAATCTTCGTTACATTCCCCATTTTGTCCAGCACTTAACATAACCAGTGCAGCTTAACATTTTCGCCAAGTTTTCCTGCTGGCGACATTTTCTTAACCGCAACATGTTAGCAAAAACCGAAGTTTTCCTGAAGTTTGAGTTTGTCCTGGGTCTGGAGCTCAAGTTCCTGAAAGGGGGTGGACCACAGCTCGACTTTGAGCCCACTCTGTGGTCATATGGCACTTGCTCATTCTGGCCTCCGAACACCCGTCCAAGTGGAGAAGTAATTTAAACACAGACAGGACAAGACGTTTGCATGAGTTGGCAACTGTAGTTTACCATTTTTATTTAGCCATCATTTGCCTTTATGACTGCTGTGGTAATCTTGCCAAGGATGTCCTCAAATTCCACCATGATTTGGCCATTTTATCGAGTTCATTTCGAAGTTGTTGAAAAGTTTGTGCAAGTGTTGCAAGTTTTACTGACTCGTGGGCCAGGTTTTTGGGGGCCGACCTAATGACAGCCACGTGGGGCATTTTCTGGGAGGAAAATGGCTCATTAAAAAGTAATAAATGTCACTCCAAGAAAATTAACTTTCCGTGGATGAAAATAAGGAATTCTTTCATTTTGATAACACAAATTTTAAAGTCAACCTCTCTTATCCAACATTTTAAGACGAAAACGATGATATATAAGAGCTCATTTTCCAAAAAGCTGACTGCAACCGCTCTAAAATAGAACTTCTTAATTTTGTG